AGTTTTAGGATCTAGGAAAATCTAGAAATCAGGTTCAGGAGTCCGTTACATGTGGGGAAGGATTAGCACTACCACAAGCGCCCAAAAATTTGTATTTAGTTGATTACCCTATATTTAGAATCGAATATTTTGAGTTCGAACTTTATCTAATTTAAAAATCATTAAGAATGCAAAGTTGAAAAGGGTATTCGTTTATTGAAGCCAATAGCATTCACCCCTAGCATAAATGCGGGAGATCAACTATTGTGCCTAATAACCGGATATTGCCTCGATATTTTATAAAATCATGATACGGTTTTGAAAAGGATGTCGACCTATTTTGGGAATCACCAGTAGACATCCTCTGAGCATACTTACGGGTGATACACTATTGACTCCCTTAATAAGTGAACATTGTCTTAGGTTTTAAAATAAAATGCAGTCAAATAAATTTTTTATCAATCCTAATTAAACTAAGGATATATTAAGGATTTTTCTATCATGAAGTGTCAAATTATGAAAATTAAAGAACCATGATACAAACCTAAAAATGTACTCTAATATTAATCCTACTTGATTTTAATCAATTATCGAATCGAATAATTGAGATGGTCTCTTGAGCATTTAACGAAGGCCAACTAGAATTATTCCCTAAATTAAAAGAACGAGATTGAAATTTAACTAAAATAGAGGTTCTAACATTAACTTAAATTAATTTTAATCAATATTGCAATTCTAATAATTAAATTGGAACCTCAAGAAAAGCGATGACCAAATTAAGAATTCTCTTAATTTAATGACTAAATATGAATTGAATAATTAAAAGATTATGGACTAAATCTAAAAAAGGTGATCCATCAAGGATTAAATTAAAAGGATACAAATATTAAATACAATTAAAATATAAAAAAGGAGTAAAATTATAGCACTAAAAAAGAAGGGTAAAAATAAATAATAAATAAATAAAATAGTAAATTAAAGTAATGAAATTAAAGGACTGAAATTAAATAAATAAAAAAGTAAAGGGTAAAAATTTAAATGTGCATAAAATTAAATAACAAAAATAAAAGAGCAATAAAATAGAATGGTAGCATTAATTTCTAATATTTAACTCAGATCGTAAATAATGCAAGTCGTACCTCGGGTGGTCGTCGCAAGGTCGTACGATATTTTGAATATAGAATAAATAAATAAATAAATAAGTTAGCGGTTAGAAAAGTTAGCAGTAAGAAATTAATGGTTAGTGTTAGAAATGTTAATAGAGTCTGAACCATAATAATGCAGATCATACCCCGAATCGGGTCACCACAAGGTCATATAATAATTCAAAAAAATAATAAAAAATTTAACAGTTAGAAGTTAATAGATAATAAATAAAATGGGAGGACTTATTCGTGATTTACCCGTGAACTTAGGACTAAAACATAAAATCACTCTAAAAGTAAAAGGACATTTGCATGATTTACCCTTTGTTTAAAACATCAACTATTCCCCCATCTTTCATGTAATCGGCCAAAGCTTACCAAGCTTCCAAAACTCCTCAGCACCGGCCCTCACACGCCGTCCACTAGGCCGGTGACCAACCTAAACTAACTGGCGACCCCAACCACGACCAAAGGAAGGCCAACGAAAAAACTTTTCCCCCCGTGCAAACTCTCTCTCTCTCGTTCTTTCTCTCCCCCACGCCGAGAGGCTTAAAGCAAGCCTCAACGCTGGTCACAAACCACCGGCGTTCCCCTCACTCCTTCAAGATCGTCGTAAACCGACCGGAGAAGACCTAAACGACGTAAAAAGGGCCCCCCGACGTCCACTCATCTCTCACAACCAAGCCCCGAAAATCACACTCCAAACACCGACCTCTCGGTCGAAACTCCCAAACCTCCGCCGGCCACCAAAAACTGGCGTTGCTTGACTGTAGGTCGTTTTCCTTGAACGCCGGCCACTGCTCAACGGTGGTCACTCCCTATGCCACAAACGGGCTGCAAAGTAAGAAAGAAGCAAGAGAAACGGAGAAACCAAGTGCCTGGTCAGAAGTTATTTTTTCCATATTTCTGAGGTCAAAAGTGGGGCCTGGATACCCCCAACTGCTATAATATTATATTGTTTTTTTTATAATAATAATAAAATTAAAATTAAAATTAAAAAAATGACGTTTACAACTAATATATAATATATAAAAAATATTTTTGGTTCAATTAACCGAATTAATTGAAATTTATAAATAATATATTATATATTTAATATTTTTTATTTCGGTCAGTTAATTCGATTAAAACCGAAGTTTATATACCTCTAAAGCTAAGTAATATATATATATATATATATATAATATTAAATATTTAATATTTCGGTTACTTCAATTAATTAACCGGTTTTAAATTGAATTAACCAAAATTGAAGTTTGAAAAAAAATCATTAACCATTAACTGATCGAACTCAAAATTAATCGATCAATTAACCGATTGTAATTTTAATTCGATCGATTAATTTAATTTTAACCAAATTATGAACACCCCTACTTAACGTCAAATTCTACTAGTTAGATTAAGTGGTAAATTTTATCAGTACTTCAGTAGTCCTTTATTTTCGTTTTGACATTTGTGCTTCCATTTACTTTAAATTATAAAGTTTCAATATATCATATTTTAGTCCCTAAACCAATATCAAAGCAATTATTCTTCTATTCAAACTCTAAAATAAAATTAATCTACATATCTAAAACTCAAATTACCGAAATAACCTATAAAATGAGAATTTTCTAGATATCAGACACCAAAATAAATTCTAGATCGATTTTTGTGATGTTACAAAGATTCAAAAATAGATTTTAAGTTTCATTATATATTTAATGTAGTCTTTATCTTTGTAATTTGGGCACGATATTTCAAATTTATTTGAATTTAATCCTTAATAATTAAAATTCTCATCCCACTAGGTCCTTAACTTTGCCTTTAGTCCAATTAGGTGCCTTTAGATTCTTAATTTTGCTTTTATAAGTGAAAGCATTACCTAAATATTCGAATCCCTAAATATAGAAAACTAAGACATATTTACTTATAAATATGAAGATACAATTTAGTTTTAATAAGATGAAAATAGTATGAAACGCAAAACAGAACTAGGCATCTTAATAAAAATTTACCACAACCATAAATATGTTAAATAACAGTAATATGAACCAACCAAGTATATTTATTAATTATTTATTTTCCATCCTTAAATCATTTCTATAATAGAAAATGCATATAAAATAAAATTCTCATTTTTTCTAGTACAAATAGAACATATATATACTTTATGTTACTTGTCAATTATCAGAAAGTTCAATTGCAAATTACTTCCTTAACTAATTAAAGTTCCTAACATGAATTAAATATCACACAATGATACTTCGGTAGCACTACAGGAAAATAGAGTTTTAGCGGCGTTTTTTTAGTCCTATAGCGGCGTTTTTAAACGCCGCTAAAAGCGCTTGCGGCGATTGGAAAAACGCCGCAAGAAGCGCCGCAAAAAACAGCGCCGCAAAAGTTAGCGGCGTTTGAGAACCAAAAACGCCGCTATAGTTCAAGATCTATAGCGGCGTTTTTGGAACAAACGTCGCAAAAGGTCGATATATATAGCGGCGTTTTTAGAACAAACTCCGCAAAAGGTCAAGATCTCTAGCGGCGTTTATGGAACAAATGCCGCAAAAGGTCGAGATCTATAGCGGCGTTTTTGTAACAAACGTCGCAAAAGGTTAGATATTTAGCGGCGTTTTTGGATACAAATGCCGCAAAAGGTCGAGATCTATAGCGGCGTTTTTGTAACAAACGTCGCAAAAGGTTAGATATTTAGCGGCGTTTTTGGATACAAATGCTGCAAAAGGACAGATCTATAGTGGCGTTTTTGGAAACAAACGCCGCAAAAGGTTAGATATTTAGCGGCGTTTTTGGATACAAACGCTGCAAAAGTACAGATCTATAGCGGCATTTTTGGACACAAACGCCGCAAAAGGTCAGATCTATAGCGGCGTTTTTGGACACAAACGCCGCAAAAGGTCAGATCTATAGCGACGTTTTTGGACACAAACGCCGCAAAAAGTCAGATCTATAATTACCATTCTTTAGCTAAGATTAATTGATATTTAATATTCTATATCATTATCTAATAATAATAAACTTAAAATTTAATTACGACACAAATTATATGCAAAATAAATCAAATTTTATAAAATTAAATTAAAATGTAACATAGTTCAAGATTGTTCACTACAATTTATTCTAGGTTCTTTCTCTTTCAATAGAATAAAAACATTGTTCACTAGAATAAAAAACAATCTTCTAGTGGCAATTTTCCTTTTGGCATGCAACTTCAATTGATTCTCTTCATCAGAAATGTACCTTCAATTCAAACAACAATGAAAACAATGGATTCAGATACAATATATTACAAGAAGATAAACTAGAAGAAAAAGCATGATTCTAAACAATATTACCTCCAAATTTCTTGCCTTCAAACATAAGTTCAAGCTAATGAGAAAAAATGTTAAACATTATCTTCTTTCTAAATAACTATGATACATGGCATATATCCACATATGCAAGCTAGCCAATGCATTCTGGAAGACCCCCATAATCAGATGGCATATGGAAAAAAGGAGAAATATAGATTTAACTAACATACATAACACTGTCAACCCTTAATGGGTACAATGCTTCAAACATTCCTAAGCAAAAAATGTTGTGACACAGGTGTGATGCTTCTGATTTGGCATAGAAATGCTCGTGATAGTTCTATTGCATTTCAAGAATAACACCTAAAATTCAGAACTATGAACAGAGTATGGTTGGCAAGAAGCTGATAGCAAAACAATAGATAATTCAAACAATTAAAAGAAAAAAAGACAATAGCTAATAGACCAAAACTTCATAAAGAAAAAAGCTTCTAAAATAATTAATGATTAAAATCACAAAATGCAGGGAATGATTAAAATCACAATGCAGGGAAACAAGATACATTAATATAGTACATGAAAGACAAACATGTTGATTATAACAATATTGATCATAACCATCAGCAATTATTGCAAATACAACAAGAAATAAGATAAAGAGGCCACTTTCCCAGCTGTTAGCAGTAACCTGAAAAGCCTGATGATTTGAATGATAAATCTAAAACTCTGAAAAAGCTTTAAAATAGTAGTAGTAACAGTTCAAAACCAATTTATTTTGACTCACCTGCAACACCTTTAAAGTCTGATGATTTTGAATCGCGCTGAACATAGACACAACCAAGATATTTGCTGTAAGAAACAAGCCAAATATCATTCATCACGCCAGTTCAAAACCAATTTATTTCTACTACACAGGAAATATAGAACTGGTAGGAAAGATACAAAACAAAAGAAACATATAACTACCAAGAACTAATTGATGCACACAATACTCTTTCCAAAACTGAAGATTCTTATTCTAATGTAAATGGTTCGCTTGCTAGACATTGTTACAACATAAGATGTGAAGCTTGTAGATTAGGAGAATGAGTGACATAAAAGAAACTATTGACATAAGTCTCATAACTATATCAAGCTTTAAAAGGCAAAAAAATCAATTATGGCAACCAAACTGCAGACTGTTTTGCACCAAATCACGGGAGAAATTTACGAGGATAAAATTAACTCTCACCCGATAAGACCAATTAAGGGAAGTTTACTCACTGATCTCTTCAGCAATAAAATCCAAGCATTTCAAAGGAAAAAACCAAACAAGAGATATGTCAGTTAAAACATCAAAAGCTTACATTTTATACCATAATCAACTACTAAAATGAGAAGAGTGGAAAAAACCATGCCTTTCTTGTTGTTCTGATTGTTTAGTACTCTGTAGAAAAATCATACACAGAAATAGAAATTCAGGAAAATGTTGATCAGACAAACACACACACACGTGTATATATCTTATAATGAATGTAGGTAGAAGGAAGTTTGTACCATTCTTTTCCTTTAAAAGAAAATCAAGTTTCACTATTAATTTAAAAATGCAAAAGTACAAAGCCATTACCTGACAAAATCCTCCACGGCAATAGCCATGTCCAGAGCATTGGTTGATACAAATACTTTCAACAGGCACTTCACAAAACGCCCCCAAAGTCCATCATATTGCAATCACATTCCTGTTTAAAGAGAACTTTGGAATCATATGCAGCATTTGGGTCTACATTACACCATCCTGGTTTGCTCCCGTTTGTTGTCAAAATATTATCCGGGTCAGCTTTTGTCCAATCAGTCACTTTGACACCTTCGGGTTCAGTAGGTGAGCTGAAATAGAGGCAACACAAGGAGTGCGGCTCATGATGTTCACAACAGAAAACAAATACCAAGAAGCATGGAATTAGGAGCCTGACTATAGCTTACTTTACTTGAAACCCACATGACTCTGCCACAGGACGGTTTGGATATTTTGTGCCTTCTCCACAAAAGCACATAGCTCGGGTAGTGTCACAATGAGCAGAACATATTGAAACAACCCATCACATAGCTCAGGGAGACAAGAAAGATGAACAACGATTAAAAATCATCATAATTACCTCAATAATGTGGGCTTCTGTAGTAATAGCATCACAACCAGAAAGCCACTGGCCGATCGCTGCCTTCCAAGGTGCATTACGATAAACAACTCCATTATGCAAGTCAGAAGGAAATCTGTGATCTAAATCAAGACCCTGTGGCTTATTATTTACCCATAAATGATCAGCACCCTGGTCAACTGATGTATTAACTGGAACACACTTATACTGGACTTGCCGAGCACTGAAGTAATCAAAAGAAAGGATGACAGGAAACAGGAATAGATGAACAACTGAAACTAGCACTATAATAGAAGCAATTGCAGCTACAAGAGACCATGAGCATTTCCACTTGAACATAATACATCATCTCAAGCAACTCTTCTACTGCAGTTGAGAAACAAATCAATGGATCTGTGAGCTTCACATTAAAAATTGGTTGTATCCTCACACCTCACTCATCAAAGCGCCTATAGCAACAACCAGAAAGCAGTTTTAGAAAATAAGGGCAATAAGAAAATGCTTATTTGGAAACAAGTACTAGACAAGAGTAGATTTTGATTTGATTATTTTACAAATCATGAGAATGAATGAATTACTGGAGTTCCCTTTTTTATTTGTGTATTACTAATTCAGTGCTCAATAGAAATCCAGAAATGCCATGATCTTTAAATTTAATCATAAAAAATAATATGTTGGAAAGTACTACAAAAAAATTCATTCAACAGTTGACATCCAAATCCCTCCTTTGGAACTAAGTTCTCAAAGGCAACCTTAGAACATTTTCAAGACTGCAGTTATAAACCACAAAACCCTACTGCAATTTTCACTGATAAAAGCCAGCAGAAATTCATAATGCATACAACCTTCAATAATCTATGGAATTAAAATCAGTAATTTCTCACCTTAATTTATAACAGGGCAATAATTCAGCACAATTTCCAGGAAAAAAGTTAAATTGTTTTGAACAAATATTCAGCTTTGATGACCAGAAAGCAATGAACAGCCTTCAACCAGATCTGGGTTTCAAGAGTTTGACCAAAATATCAACAATTTAACAGGCAATAACATTATAAACACATGAGAAAGAGAATGTAATAGTGCAGCAATTATTGAATTTTATAAATTAATGATGATTCAAGACAGCCTTTAACCAGTTCGCGCTTGTTCTGAAGATTCCAAGCAAACCCAGATTTCTTATTCAACCTCTGCAGAATCCCTATAAGAGAAACACAGTCAGAAGTTCAATGTTAAATCTTTTGCCCAAATATATGTATCGGAAACTAGAAACAAAAATAAAATCTCAAAAGATTCAAGGACAAACACAGTCAGATTTAACACCGGCGTTTTGTTTCCAGGCGTAGCGATTTTGGTGCTTCGGTGGCCCTCGACGACTGCTCATCTTTTGCTTGCAGGCTGCCGACTCAATCACTCTTCTCTGACTAACGTTTGGAATTTGTTAATTAAACCTACCATTTTTTCTAATTAACGTTTGGGGTTTGGTAGTGAAGCAGATGGTTTGGGTAAACGGTGGGATTGAAAAATGGGTGAAGGTGGAAAAAATGAAAAAGGGCGGGATTAAAAATTGTAAACTTTCGACATTTGTATATAAACACCACTAAAGTATAATTGTATAACGGCGTTTGTATAAAAATGCCACGAAAGTACAAGTGTATAGCGGCGTTTGTATATAAACGCCTCTAAAGTACGAGTCTTTAGCGGAGTTTTTATAAAAACGCCACTAAAGTACAAGTCTATAGCGTCGTTTATATAAAAACGCTACTAAAGTACGAGTCTATAGCGTCGTTTATAGAAACGCCACTAAAGTATGAGAATTTAGCGGCGTTTGTGCTTAAAATGCCACTAAAGTACGAGTCTATAGCGTCGTTTATAGAAACGCCACTAAAGTATGAGAATTTAGCGGCGTTTGTGCTTAAAACGTCACTATAGTACATTATTTAGCGGCGTTTATATAGAAACGCCACTAAAGTACGAGCATTTAGTGACGTTTGTGCTTAAAACGCCACTATTGTACATTATTTAGCGGCGTTTATACGAAAACGCCACTAAAGTACAGTAGGTAGCGGCGTTTATATAAAAACGCCACTAAAACACAAGTATTTACCGGCGTTTGTTCAAAAAACGCCGCTAAAAGTGCCGCTAAAAACCCATTTTGCTGTAGTGTAGTAGGGAAAAACATAACATAAAGGAGTACGACCACCTCAATCGATCCATGTTCAATAGATTTGGGTTGCCACTGCTGAGACCATCGTGTTGATGCCGCACATGGCGTGGCCTCGACAAAGGCGATAATAGCCATGTTCTCCCCATGTTTTGCCCCATGAGTTCTTGATGATCCAATATGGCTGATTTCCAAGTCTCAAGATGGAGAACCCTTTTGCACCATAGCCCACCAGTAGTACTCCATGGTTCAGCCATCTCTTCCCACATATTATTGGGCACGATACCCCACCTATGTAGGTTTGCATGAAGACAGCATTCAACCCCACTGCAACATGTAAACACGAATACAGATCGAGTTCACGTTCGATGTGCAATCAGGGACGAGTTAGGATCAAAGGTTAAGCTATTAAGTGCTTAAATCTAAAAATTGAGATAGATAAAGGCCTTATTTGGCTAATATTTAAATTGACAAGGACATCAAATGCTAGTATACCAAAAAATTGAAGAGTTACAGTCCCTCATAAGTAAACCCACTGCGACACATAGATCTAGATCGAGTTCACACGGGAACAACATAAGATATGTGCAACTAGAGAGTCAAGATCGAAGTATAGTTTGAAGTTACGTGACTAATATGTTACTAATATTTAAACTAAAGAGGACCTTAGATGTTATTCTACCAAAAATTTGAAAGATTACAACTCCTCACACACAGCAAATGGTTCCGTTCCTATGTCCAATCTATGTTTATAAGAACAGCAGCCTATTTTGAGTTCACCCAACACATTGTATAATGTGCAGCTTGATAAGTTTGCTTGCAGTGATGGCATTGCACAAATTGAATAAATATGGGTTTTCGAAGGAAAATAACTCACCGGCTAAAGGGCCGCGATGGACTAAATTTGCTGCGATTTGGTTTTCATCAATGGGGATGTTAGTGAAATTCGCAACTTTAACGGCTATTTTGTCGGGTTTGAACCTGCATTCATCTTGTCTCCCCGTATATGGGTATGCACTCTCCTCCATTAAGCCTCCTGCCTCGATCAAATACTTATAGGCATTCGTCATTAGGCCTCCGCCGCAACCGTTGTCGCATGTGTCCTTTCGCTTTATATCGCACTTCATGGAAATTCAACATGGCATCAAATTTGGGACAATGATTAAAAAACCGGACCACGAAAGTCGAATGGGCCTGTATGGCGTCCAGAATACGACCAATAATTGTGAATGAGAATGCATATATGTAGTATGAAACTAATTACCACGTGATCACAATCAACAAGCTGTTGTTCACTTAGGTTTAGAAGTTTCCCGGTTGCTATGAAATTGGCTCCTTCCATGGCCCCCGTTGTGCTAAATGCCCAACATGATCCACATGCACCCTATAAATATACAATTAACCAATAATACATCATCATCTCAAGCAGTGGCGGATCTATAGGTTGCAGAAGATAAACATATCTAAAATTCGAATTTTTTTATTAATTAATTATTTTACAAATGGTATCCTCCCTAAAATTTTAACCATACCCATCCCATTCAAAAATTGTGTTGTTAAGACATATGTCTACCTTAAAAAATATTTCGAGATCCGTCAGGACAAACATTATTGGCATACTGGAAAAAAGCACCAAAGAGGTGATTGGTCCGAACTCGAACCGGATTTGATTATGAAAAAAGGAAATCAGCTTATACCATCCATCCCAAAATAATCTTAAAATACCCGAAATGACATGAATTTGAAAAAGAGACTAAAACTAAAAACAATTCGTTTTAAATGTCAACTACAACATCATAATGATTTTCAAAATCATCGTGATTCTGCAAATGTGTCGGTGATGCAATTTGAAAATAAAATTATTTTCAGAAAACGAATCACGCCGTAACATCCACAACATCCGAAATCGTGATGCTCAATAGTAATTTAGTACTATAATCCAAATTGCTTGAACCAAATTAAAAGCAAAAAAACTGGTTAATTCACCTGCGTCTTGACCTCAGTTACAGCTCCTTTTTCTCTCCAATCAAAGCTCTCAGGCAACCCATCAACCTCCAACTTCTCCGCTACAACACCGTTGCCATCCATCAACGGTGACGCCATCACCGGCCCCTTGAACCCGGTGTAAAGACTCTCGAATTCCTCCTCGGATAGATCGGAAAACCGAGTGACCCCATGCACGGCCGTAGGATCGAGCATCTGATGCTCAGCAGCCCTCACCAAGTTCTTGGCAAAGATCCCGAGGCGGTGCATGTACTCCTTCCTGGTCGAGTAGTTCTTCCCGTACGTTTCGATGAACACTCTGAACTGATTGTGGACATGATTTCTCGAGAATTTGGTGTCGAGAATCGGGATATTTGGATCGTCTGTGACTTGGAGTATGGTTGGTTCTTGTGGGGTTTCGAGGAGAGCTAAGCTGGAAGAGAAGATTAGGGTCCAGGTTAAGATTCCGATGGCTACGGTGGTGCCGGTCGGAGTTGAGCTTTTCCCTACGGGTTTCATTTTGATTTTTATTTGTTTAGGGTTTTAGGGTTCTCGCTTTTGGAGGTGACGATTTAAAAGGAATTGTGTTCAAAAGTAGAGCACGCCATGACGGACACTTGGGATCGTGAAACACTGTGCTACGTGCATGGTTGCCTCGTGTTTTAAGACTAACGCCCTCACGTTGCCGCTCCCTTGCTTTACTTCAAGGTCCTTTAATATTGTTTATTTAATTTATGCGTATCACGAATAATTCTTGAGATTATATTTTATTGATTCTTTTAATTATTAAAAGTTATAAAATGGTTTTTTTATTATAGAATATTGTTTTATTAAGTCTCTCAGCTATTAAAAGTTATAAAATGATCACTCGATTATTTATTAAGTTCCAAACTCGTTTTTTTCGTTAAAAGATTGAGTGTTGCCTAAGCTTGACGTTAACATGATGACTAAGATATGATATTCATTTGAGATTCTGAGATCAGATTTTATCATATCACATTCAGCATGTTAATGTTCAACTCATAATATTATAATTTTTTTAACGAAAAATGATGAGTTTAGAATATAATAAATAGTTGGATGACCATTTTGTAACTTTTAATAGTCGAATGACTCAACAAAATAACTTAATAGTAGGAGGTTCAAAGTTTAACGTTAAATTTTGAACAGTGATACTAAAATGAAACAAAAACTAAACTTAGATATGATTTTGAAAAAACTAAAAATTTAGGTGCTAAAACAAATTAAAACTGATAGTTTAAGTACTAAACGTATAATTTACTCTTAATTTATTAGGTGTCATTTTGAGAATGCTTATGGAAGTGTTTTTTTTTTCTCAAATTTCATTTGAAATGTAAAATTATTCTTAAACAATTCATTTTCAACAAAAAGAAAATTTAGGATTGAAACGTGATTATTGACTCAAACTAAAATACTAAAACACAATAATTTCGTGTTAGAAAAATTCGTTTAGAAACACATTCTCAAACGAAACAATATAATTTAAATTAATTATTAGAAAGATTTATTATAACAACCTTTTTAATTAATTTTTTTAAATATCAAATTTTAATTATTTTATTTTTATGTCTCGTCTTATTATACCAATTACTATTTAATAAAATATTATATATCTTTTATTTAATACTATAATTGAATAAAATCAATAAATTATTGAAGGAATTGATCTTGTGTTCTCTTTTAATTTAAGTTTGAATAATCAAATTATTATTATCACTAAAAATTATTTAAATATTATTTATTTTTACATTAAATTATTTTCAATCATAAAATAGGTAAAAGAATACATGTGATTAAGGATGCTTAATGAGTTGAGTAGTTCGTAAGTTGTTCGAGTTAACTTAATCAAAATTTAATCAATGTTCCATTTGAATTGACTCGACCCGAGCTTGATTCGAGACCTTAACGAGTTGAATCGAACAAAGTTAACTCGATTCGATAAGTTCGTAATCATTTTATTATTTTTTTATAATTTATAAATAGTTGAAAGTCTAATTAATAGTTATTAGTTTATCAATTAAAAAAATTTATAAGCTTAACAATAAACGAATCGAAACACGTAACTAGTCGAGCAACTAGTTCTTTTAACAAACGAGTTGAATTTTTTTTATTGAACTTAACTAAATTTCTTTAACAAACACGAGTTAAACATTATCAACTCCGAATCAACTCGTTCAATAACACCCTGTATGGGATTATAAAAGATAATTAAATAGAATATCTCAAGCTCTATTTAGATGAAATATTGAAAATCACCCTTAAAGCATTAGTAAATGTTTTAAATAAAAATGAAAAAGTCGAGACCCATCTCAGTCTGTCGGGGCTGCCTACCTCTATTGTTGGCTGGGAAGTGAGTTCATGTTTTGATTGGCTGAAATTCACGGCCTCCGCGCTAAGCCGAGAAGGATTTGATTTATTCCTCACTCTGCTTGGATTTGGAATCGTAGGAAATGGATCCATGACGTCGAGCTTCAACAGGACAGAGATCATATCAAAAGCATGAATCTTCTCGGTGAGTTTAAACAGGTCTCCAGTCGGTTCTCTAATTAGTGAGAGGACTCCCCCCATCGAACTCGCAAGTGGTGTAAGCCTTTGCAGGGATTGATTAAGATCAATGTGGATGGAACGTATTGTCTGAATCTCAGAAGGTTGCCATAGGCATTGTGGCGCAAGATTCGAATGGAATGGTCCTAGGAGGAATGGCTAGACAGGTTGACCCTCCCAATACGGCGGAATCTACGGAAGGTTGTGCTTTTACACATGTTATACAACTTACTGTCGAGAATGGATGGAGCAATGTCATCATCGAAGGAGATGCTATCTCGGTGGTGAACAAACTGGCCAATAGAATTCTGAAAAGACCCATGACCTCTCTACAATTGAATGTTGCTCAGTACTAATTCTTCTTTCAAAGTTCACTATGTTGTAGGGAAGTAAATAGAGCGACATACACGCTGGCTCATGGGCTTTATCGAACCCTAATCCAATTTGATTTTTCCTGGACGAACCTGATTGTATTAAGTAAATCATCATTGCTGCTATTGGAATATAAGTTCTTACTCTCTTCAAAATAAATAAATAAAAAACAAAGGAAGAAGCTTTGGTGAGATTCACCACTATCCAATCGTGAGACTGGCCAATAGAATTCTGAACAAGACCCATGACCTCTCTACAATTGAATTGTTGCTCAGTACTAATTCTTCTTTCAAAGTTCACTATGTTTGTAGGGAAGTAAATAGAGCGACATACACGCTGGCTCAATGGGCTTTATCGAACCCTAATCCAATTTGATTTTTCCTGGACGAACCTGATTGTATTAAGTAAATTATCATCATTGATGCTATTGGAATATAAGTTCTTACTCTCTTCAAAATAAAATAAAATAAAAAACAAAGGAAGAAGCTTTGGTGAGATTCACCACTATCCAATCGTGAGACTCCATCGCCAGAAATTCAGGAAGTCTATTTGCTCGAATGAACTCAACCCAAATCAGAATCGTCCGGGGAAAACCTCGAAAAACATGGCTAACGTCCTCGATAACAACTTGGCAAACAGGACACCGGGCATTAGTGGCCAACTGCCGCCGCATCTTTTGTTCATTCGTCGTGATCCGATTTTAATTTTTTTTTTGAATTATTCACTAATATCTGATCTATTGATCGACTAATCCAGATCGGGTACTAAGAAGTATTAAGAATGTCGAGATTAATTTAGCTTAAAAGTTATGAGTTCTTTTTTTTTTTGTCCTTTTTAAGGGTAAAGAATGAAAATTGTCCTCCGACTATAGGGTATTGTTTTATTAAGTCTCTCATCTATTAAAAGTTACAAAAATGATCATTTGACTATAGAGTGTCACTTTGTTGAGTCCCTCAACTATTAAAAGTTACAAAGTAGTCACCTGATTATTCATTATATTTCAAACTCGTCTTTTTCCATTAAAAATGGATGATATTATGAGCTGAACGTTAACTTGTTCACTGTGATATGATAAAATTTGATCCTAAAATCTCAAACAATTATCATATCACAATCATCAGGTTAACATCCAACTTAAACAACCACCAATTTTTTAACAGAAAAAGATGAGTCTAAAACATAATGAATAGTCGGGTGATCATTTTATAACTTTTAATAGTCAAGGGACTTAACTAAACAACACTCCATATTCGAAGGTCTATTTTATAGCTTTTAATAATCTAGAGACTTAATAAAATAATATTACCCTATTGTCGGGACCATTTGCGTTCTTTGCTTTTTTTTATTATCCAATCAATAAATCTCATCTTATTATCGACACTAATTGTATAAGGATAAGATTAGTTTGAATCTGTTCAATTTATAATGATTTTTTGTATTAATTTTAGGTTTCAACTTTTTTATATTTTATTTCCATAAAAATTATTTTACGTTATGTTTCCCATTATTTATTTGTTCTTAAATATTTTTAAAGAAAAAATTTGTCAAGTAAATGAAAATAATTAATAATTTTTATATAACTATTATAAATCAGTTTTATCATTAAATGCAAAATATTTATTGTATATAATAAAAGTAATTAAAATAACCATAATTTTTAAAAGGGTAAATTATATGTTTAGTACTAAACTATCCGTTTTAGTCTATTTTAATACTTAAACTTTCAATTTTTTTCAAAACCATACCTAATGTTTAGTTTTCAATTCATTTTAGAACCGTCTTTAAAAAATTTAGTTTTTGTTTCATTTTAGTACCCCGTTCAAAATAACGTTAATTGTTTTTAAAAAAAATAAAGTTTATGTACTAAAACGAACAAAACAAATAGTTTAGTTACTGAACACATTAAGTTTTTAACGGCGTGTACTAAAATGAATTAATACTAAACGTTAGGCGTGGTTTTGAAAAAATTAAAAGTTTATGTACTAAAACAAACCGAAACTGATAGTTTTGGTAATAATGTGTATTTTATCCTTTTAAAATTAATCTATGAATCAACAAAAACACTACCATTCAGATCAATTTCAAATTTTCTTTACTCAACCCTAATTTTAAGATTGAGAAAGTCCAAAAGTAAAGTTAAAGACAGGGTGGAAGAATGTAACTTTCAAATGTCCTTTTCTTAGTTTAATGGTTAGGAAAGAAACCCCAATTCTTTGTAGTTTCCTATTGTTAGCAATTGAATTGAATGTATTTTCAATTTTACTTTTCTTTAATTATTATTAGCAAAGTTGATGATTATTTAATTGTTATTTTAAACTTTATACAATATTATTTAACTAAGGGTAAATTACATGTTTAATATCTAAATTATCAGTTTTGTAAGTTTTACTACTTTTTTTAAAACATACTTAAAGTTTAGTTTTTGTTTCATTCTAATACCCTGCCATTAAAAACTTTAGTTTTTATTACATTTTAGTATATTAGTTCAAAATTCAACGTTAATTTTGAAAAAAATGAAAGTTTGGGTGTTGAAATGGACCAAAACTAATAGTTTACGTACTAAACGTGTTAATTTTTAACGG